CAGCCGAAACTTTGTCTCGTAGAAAGGAATGAGTGCGCCTACAATTCGCTACTGTAATCTATGGTATTCTAACCCATTTGAGAATAACGTGTCTTGAACGGAGAAGAAAACTAGAAAAATCTGGTCAACGATTTGCGGAACGGGATTCCAAAAACTGGGATTGAAAATTCCGAGACTCCGAAATTCCGAATATTTGAAACTCGGAATTTTCGACATTCCGAACATCTCTAATTTTGGTGCAGAAATCAGGTTGAATTTTGAAAATACTGTCTTCAGGATTTCTGGATCAAAAATATGTACTAGACTATTTCAATAATCGGATTAGTCCAGATATTGCTTTTCCAATTTTTTATGCTCGCGACCGAATTTTAGACCGATTTGACCTCCTCTCAAATAGTCTTCAACCTCCTAATCAGCTTCTCTATCAATTCTTATCACCTTCTCCTCACTATCATCATACTCGAGTTTTCTTCAAAATTTCCCTCATCATCACCCATCATCATCATGCACCACCAACCATTTTTCTTTGAACAAAGCCTACTAACCGACAAAAAAGTGACGTGTCTCAGTTCCATGAGGTAACATTTGTACTTTTGAAACAAAAAAAATCGTATTCCTTTTGCCCCTTTTCGGGAACGAGTCCCTCTGACTGGGCAAACATTGCTAGGTGATAACTATCCTTTGTACTATCCGAACGAGACTAGTTAAAAGTGCAAGTTCTCTTCCCTCACTCTCTCTATCTCGTTAATGTGTTCGATTTCAACTCTAAATTTTCATGATGGGATGAGATTTGAGAGAGCATTAGAATGAAACCAAAATTGGTTTTGATTTGTCGCCTCCAGGTACAGGGCGCCCCATTGAGACACAAACGACCTTCTTCTTTCATCCGTTCATCATTTCAGTCATATCGAGACGATCCAAATTGGATTGTTTAGTTCTATTCCCACCCATGGAGGTCGGGTGACAAATGTTGCGTAATTTACATGAGAGGAAAAAGTGCATAAGGTGCCCGACCTCCCAATGCGCGAATCGCAGGAAAAAAAACGAACGACTTTTCTGTTCGGGGGTTTCTTTTTTTCGGTGCGGCATCGTTTTTCTTGTCCCTTTTTTGTCTAATCTACACCGGTGGACCGTATCCCTATACCCGAAGAAGCCATCTGTCACCAGACAAGATTCGCGCAAAGTGTGTCGGAGGCACGCGTCCACGATCAAGAGATAATATTAATGGGGAGATTGGGAGGTTCGGAGATTTGAATTCCGTCGGAATAAGGTGAACCTAGAAGTGGCAGATGGTACCATCTTTTCCTTCGGAACGCCCAAAGAAACAGATAAAGGAATCCAAAAGTGGGTGCTATCCCACTTCATAATTAGCTTCTAAGAGAGAGAGTGGAGTCAGATTTTTGACAGGGGAGGATCTCAAGGAACACCACAGATGTTGGATTATTTATTGGTCAAGTACCACCAGATAATCGATGATTGTTTGAGATTTTATTAGAGTTGTGTAACAGGGTGATTATCGTATAATTTGGGTTGGAAGAGATTTAGAGAGCAGATAAAGAAAGTTATGGGGCTTCCAACAGATGGGTAAGCAGCGGGAGACCTGGTGTTTGACACGATTCTTAGTTCTGAAGGTGCATGAGGTTCAGGTCTTGAGATAGAGGATTCTAATAATTTCAGAACTAGTTTCCAGATTTCCGTTCCGGTTTAAAATCGGTTCGAAATCCTAGAATTATGCTTAAAGTTCTCTATCTCAAACCTGTCTCTCAATTATTGTTGCTTCTTCTTATCCACTTGCATCTCTATTCATCTGAACCCCAACCTGGGCTGACCCCACTTAAAGTACCAACGCAACAGTGCCGAATTGCACCGTGTAGTATTGTAGCATCAGTGCTACAATATCTTCATATCGACGTCATCTTTAGATATAGAGGCACCTGTCGACCTCCCACGTCTTCTTCATACACACACAAAGGTCCACACCTTCTGTCGGCTCGCGCAACACCCGGTAATAGTAGATCCGCTAAATCCTAGCCATCATTCTCTATATCTTATTTGTTCTTTTGGAGGAGAGAGGCAGAATTTGACCCCGTTGGTGCACACTTTAGGACCAATTGGTGTGGCTCTTACGCAACAGTTTTCACTCCCAAATACTAAAAACAACTACCCACGGGCAATGTTTCATTTGAGTGTAAGTGAGTCTTTTTTTCACACTCTCAATCTTGTTCAAACAGTTAGAAGAAGGTCATTTTTTTCTCTTTTTCCTCTTATTCCATCAGATTAATAAGATCAGTGTCGCATTAGTGGGGTGTTGAGTAAATGGAAATTAGATAGTGGGTGTCCCAGAGTCAGGTGCGCGAAAACTGATAGGCCTAGGGATAGATTGATGGTGGTCCCAATGTTTGTCCAAAACGAGTGATGGAATGAAATACAAGAAGTCGTGTTAGTTGGAGGTCAGAATTGGGACAGCTGGCCGAACACCTGGCGCATCCTCCTGGGGGCCCAGGCTACCAGAATACCATAATTTTGATAACTTTCACTTGACTTGATCCTGTCTCTTTGATTTCAATCATCCTCCCAAAGGATTCATCTCACCCCAAGGATCCTCAAGGTACATCCGACAACATCTGATTTGTTGTTTCCTGTGTCACCGTTTTCTTTCGTTCCAATGTCCCAAAAGACAATTTATTAGTTTGGGAACACACATTGTGCATTCATTGTGGGAGGGCTCCCAAAACAATTGAAGACATTTTGGTGTTTTCGGTTTGGGATAGGACAGGGGAGCTGGGTTGTTTTAGGTCACACTTTTGACCCAGTTAGAGAAGAAAAGCTGAACTTTGGGAGCTTGGTGAAATGCTATGAGAACGGGAATGGGAGCTAGAAAATCAGAATTAAATATGTTGAGAAAAATAGGTTTTGGAACAAATGAAGAAAAAGGGCACAATTGATGAAATTTTGAACTATTGTTCAAAATTCGGAATTAAAAATAAGATCTCGAAAAAATCGAAATTGCCTCTGAAATTTTTGAACATTGAATATCTGCTGTGTTTTTCCTTCTAATTCTGGCTGCAAGCATTTGAGAGTTTGTGATAAAATTTGAAATTAATTTAATGGTTTCATCCTTTGAAATCGAATTCTTCCTACAGTATATTTTTGCTACCAAATCCTTGAAACTTGATCAACAGATATTCTGAAAACTAGATTTCCCCTTCTCTCATTAGATCTTTGGAAAAAAAAGTATATTAGTACCTGGCACTCGCACTTTTCCCCCATTTTTTTTCTCATTCTCCATCTCCGTAAGCATTAATCATCATCATCCAAAAAGTGTTGGTATTCATGTTTCTCCAGAATTTTCCATCAAATCCAATAAGCTTAACCTTGACGCTTTTTTTCCCCTGTTAGCCGGAAGAAATGTTGTTTTTCCAGTTATACCATTATTCACACCTTCAATGGTACTTTCCAAGGTCTTCTTTGTCTTAATTTGTGACGGATTTTGACACCTGAACATATGACCTGATGACCTACCGAAGTACTTCTTGAAGTTCTCTTTTCGCACCTTCTTTCTCACCCAAAGAGCGTTGTCACCCTCCCCCACCACCACCAGAATACATCCATTTTTCACCATGACCCAGTACCCCGTTGACTTCTTTCTGAATCCCATCCATCTGCTCTTCGTCAACACCACCTGAAGAAGATCCTATAGACGAAAATTCCATCTCAAAATCATTTTTCCATTTGGCCCTGGGGGTGAGAGTCTAGATACCCTGGGGAAGACGAAGAGACCGGGGGGAGGTGCGCAAGGGGGGCGGAGCTTAGGGATGGAGGGCAACAGGCACCCCTCCTCTTCCTTTCCTCCTTTCTGCCATCACCTCATTTTTGGTGTTGTCTCCAAAGGAACTAAGTTAATATCAGTAAGCATATTTCCTCTGAATCCCAACCTGTACTATATTCATCACGTCTTCTTCTTACTCTTCTTCTTCTTCTTGACTCTCAAACTCAACTGTATATCTTTCCAGATGGATTTCGCATCCTCATCTTCGGCTGGTCCGAGTGGTTCTTCCTCTTCTTTCGACTACTTTCCAGAACCAAGTACATCCAGGACGTCCACCTTGGTAAGTGTGTGGGAAAAAGTTTTTTGGGGCATCTGGTGTCTCACAGCGGGTAACTTGTCCTTTCTCATTTTTTCCTCTTCTTCTGATGCTTTGAAAATGTTTCAACACCTTTTCCCTCTCCTTCCCCTCATTTCTGTGTATCTAGATATAGATCTTGACGAGAAAATGGAAGAAGATTCTTCTTTTCCTCTTCTCCTTTTCAATATTTTCTTGACCAGTAGTTCGAAACTCATGCCTTAAAGTTCTGAATTTTTCAGAATCGCAATGTAGCCCTTCCCAAGTGGCGTATGCCTGCTCATCTTGCCGCCATTGTCAATGATAGTGAGCATTCGGAAAAGACTCGATATTTCATTTATAACCGAACTGATCCCAATATTCAATGTGATATGAGAGCATTCTACAATTGTATGGAGTATGAGGAGATGTTGAAACCCAATTATGAATACTTCACCGCCGTCCAAAATGAGCTGACTCCATACCATCGGGAGCAAGCCATCGACTGGATTTATGATGTGGCAAAAGAAGAGAACTGTGATGGAGATGTGTTTCTGTTGGCTGTGGCTCTAATTGACCGATTCTTATCTCTTCAATGTATTCTGAAGCACGACATTCAGGTGAGTTCGGGTCTTTAATTGGAGTTATTAAGAGCCCTGCGATCTATCATTGAGATCGCAGGGTCCCATTCTTCCCCAGGGGTAATGTCGCTCGTGAGAACTCTCGAAAAGAGAGTAGATTACTATTTTAGCACTCTGTCTCGATGTTTATGTCTAGATCACCTTCTCAAATATACCCGAATGAAATCAGAGCCAATTCCTTCAGATGGTCGCTGGAGTTGCCCTGTTTATGGCGAGTAAACTCAAGGCTCCTCATCCTCTGACTGCTTTCAAAATCTCCTACTACTCGGATAACAGTCTTTCGATTCCGATGATTCTTCAGTGGGAACTCGTGATGATCACTGCTCTCGATTGGGAGACTGAATCACCAACAGCGTTCTCGTTCTTCGACTTCCTTGCCTCCAGCTACCCACAGATCCATGGAATGAGATCCGAGTTCCAGTATGTCGTTCACAAGTGTCAAAAAAGTGAGTTTCGTTTTTTTTTCTCTGTAGTGAAAAAGTCAGTTCAGTTCGTCCTCAGCCATTTTTTGTCTCATCTGGCGCGTGTCATTTTTCAATTCGTTCTCCATTCGGCGTTCTAATCTCTCTAAAATCGTAGTCGTTTTTTTCGTTCGCGTCGCGCTGTCCCCCATTCTTTTGTACTTTTTGCCGATTCAGCCCACCCAGGGGGTTCCCGGGGTGGTGGTTGGAAGGAAAATCATGGAAATAAGACAAGTTTTTTTTGATGGGTGGTCGTTTATGTGCTTGTCCGAATTTTGACTGTGCGGTAGGTCGGACACGAAATCGGCGGATGACACCGTTGCATTTACATAAATTGAGAATGTAGGAAACGAATAGGACTAGAACGCTGGCAAGACAAGTATAATGGTCATTTAGCGGGGGGATGCGGGAAAAGATCCCTACTCGCCCAGGGACCTCCAGAGCTCCTGGCAAGGTTCTGAACTAATCTGGAACATCATCTTGGGAAACAATCCAATTCAAACAAACAAGTTCTCAACACAGCAGGTGGTCAGTCTACAGTCTAATGAGCTTAGCAATCGTTCTCCTAAACTTTCTTTGTGTGTTTATTTTGCCCTAAAAAAGAAACCTACCAAGTTTAGTCGCTTCCTTGAAGGAAAATTTGCCTAACCAAACAGTTTTTGCGTACGGCTCATTGGCCATTTGACACGCGACTTTGACCTACACCATTTTAGATTTTTAGCGCCTTTGTTAGGGTTGGGTACCTTAAGATATAAGATCAGTAAGTGAGTCGGTGAGTGCCAGGTACACATTTTTTCCATTGCCTCACCATTTTGCCCTCCTTTGTTCTCAAGCCGTCCGTATATTCTGAGTGAGGTGACACATACTGGGAGAGCGAGGCAAAAAATGACTGTGTATGTGTATGTGAGGAGGACCATCTGGTTTTTTATTCTATTCCACAAACCCTATGAAAAGTAAGACAATAAGAATCATCTTAATGAGGCAACTAGCGGATTAGCGAGGAGCGTATCACGGGAGAACCTGTAAATAATGGAGCATGTGACAAGAAAATTAGGGCCTAATGGTATGTAAACAGTAGACGTCACAGGTGGTAGGGGGCTTTCTTAAGGTTCCTAGTAATTTGGACAATTTTCAATTTTAGCCCTCTCAGCGATCGGTGTCTTTTAAGTCAAACCGTTTAATTGTGCCGGATCACTTGACACCCGACAAAAAGAAACAATTAGTAGTGCCTTCTTGGACATATGGTGCTATAATCTCGTGCCTTTTGAAGTGACCTTAAGTTGAGGGATTTCTAGGAATGTCTACAGTAATCCGACACCAAAACTTTTCAAATGTTCGATTGCCTAAGTAGTAAAATAGTTTATTTGAATACCACCAGAAACTTCCGATCGGCATCCTTTTAGCAACATAGCAAGTGATCAATCACTTTTGGAATGTTTGTCTAGCCTTACATCGATATTCTAATGGATAAGGAAGGAGAGGATTAACCGAAAGTTTTGTGGGTCCACCTGCAGCACTGGCGCATGCCTTGATTTATATTTGAGATTCCGTGGGGTAGATTATGAACAAGTGAAACTGTCGGGGAGACTCTTTTCTTCTGGAAAAAGAGAAAGGCACGATGTTGATTTACGACGAGTTGTCATAGACGGTGCCTGTTGGTGTATGTGTGGGTGAAACAACAAAGAAAGTTGATGTGTGTCGCAATCTTTTACATATTGTGCCGGCTGCTGGGCATATGTACATTATGATTACTGCTACTACAACACAGCAACTGCCAAAAATTTGAAATTAGGGGATAGGCTGATGAATCATTCGATTCAAAAATTCTAATTTCTTCGGTGGCTCTGTATTTTCAAGGTTCATATAAATTCTCCCACTGTTTCTGATTAATGTTTCATGATGGGGGGGGGGGGGGGATGATGATGATGATCCTAATTGATTGACAGTGTCCTGGAATTTGAATAGAAAGGAGCAGCTGAGTGGGAGAAAAAGTCATCAATCCAATGTCTTCTGGACACATCCGTTTGACCTCCTTCCATTCGGTCAATTAACCCAATGTTTTTTATTTGCTGGAGATGCTTACGAGGCAATGGAAGCGTGTCCAGATGAAGATTTTCAAATATCTCTACATCCAAATCCTTTTCATCATCTACCAGCTGTCGGATAGCGGACGGTGCCATTCTATTCAATTATGCAACACCCTCGCCTGTACAGTACATCCATTTTCGGCAATCCAATACATACCCACTGTCAACAGGTGCTCATTCTTTGATGAAAGGGGTCTCTAATTGCGCAGGGATATTTTTGAATAGGTGAACTGAAATGAAAAGCTGAGCTTGAAGCAGATGTCGATGGAGCTGACGCAACTATCAGATGACGTGGGGGGCTTTTACTGAGCAATACTTTGCTCCGCAATCACCTTGCGCAACGTATGTCTCGATTGCGCAGAGAACTCCAAACAATGCACATGGAAGCTGACGTCAACAAGAAAGGGTCAAATCTTACGTCACACATATCACCCAGATGCGTATTCAAACTCGGGTTTTACGGTTTTTCGAAAAAAAGGGAGTGTGAAACCCAAAGACACATTTTTCAAACCCGTGCCGCGACCTTCAACGCCTATACCGTTCCATCTACAGTATGCCGTTGCCAAAGTTTATGTTAGCATAGATAAGCGTTTTACCAGCCGCCTGTGTATTCTCTAGAATTCGAAAAAGATTCGCGCGTCGTCATCGTCGTCGCTCGAGGTGTGAAAACGCGCACTTTGAGTTCCATGGAGTGAAATAGTATGAGAAATCAGGAGACGTCAGAGAGGCGACTCGTTTTCAAGATAATCATCTCTAATACGGGACATTACGGGGAAGAGGGTGGCCTTTGCCACCACCAGAAAAATTTCATGTCTATTTTTCTTATTCGATCGAAATCAAAACCTTGAGAGTGAGTGAGTGTGAGGAAAATAATGATTGGCAAGACGAACTGACTGATGGATTAGTTGAGAACATTTCCTAAATATATAAAATACAAAAATACCAATATGTTTTTCTTTTTCAGTGCACAGACTGGCCACCTTGTTCCCATCAATGCAATGCGCCATTGTTCTCTACTATGTCTCCCATATTCGACACCACCTACCCCTGGCTGAGGATATCAAGGCTCTCATGGTCAACATGTTCCAGTTGGAAATCAACCTTCTCGACCCATACATCCCATTGGTCAAGCGATGTCTCGCACCAGCCCCAATCTACGCCGTGGAGCCAGAACAACAAGTACCGGCACCGATTGCTCCGATCGCCCCAATCGCAATGCAAGAGGAGGATATTGATGGAGACGATGAGCAAGAAGATGATGAGGAAGAAGAGATGGAAATGGTTGTTTCCCCAAAAGAAAAAGCACCTGAAGGCACTCTCACTCCACCAAACGGAGAAGAAGAACCGCATCAAGTCCAAGTCTTCGCTCAGGTCCCAGAATGCGATCAATCTCCAATCACCCCACTCAACGATTCTGGATTCTCATCTGACTTCTCCTCTCCTTCCAACTCCGCCGAGAAGAAACGCCGTCGGAGCTCAGATTGGTTCGAAGATGAGGATTACACTCCACCAAAGATATTCAAATTTAAATAATCCATTCAATACCATTTATATTGCATGTTTAGCTCATTTAGCCGTTCTATGTCGATTCGAAACCAAAACTTTCTCCAAAAAAAATCTCAAAACCCTATTCTACTTTATATGCGCCCAATTCTCTCAATTTCCACCCAACCAAACTTTATTTTTCTTTTCCAACCGGTGTCACCAATTTCTTCTCTCCAGTTCATTACCATTTTAAAACCCATACAACAACAAAAAAAAACTTTAAAATGCAATCCCAAAAAATTCCCCTTCCCTCCAATCCGAGAGTCCGAATGTACTCGAACCTTCGAGTTGTAGATGGAGATCCGATCCAGAAGACGTCCCACGTCTTCTGAATCTCTTCTCACAGCGTATTCTGGTTCTTGTCACATTCATGACTTCGTTCGTGATTAGTCAAATCCTGCCAACCGTCCCCAATGTTCAATCAATTATCCCTTTACCCTTTTTTTGTAATTTATTTTTTCCAATCACTTCTTTCAGAAATCGTTTTTGTTCTTGCTCAACAACCATCCCTCTTCCATTACTTTTCCCTCCAACTGATGACCAATTCTACACTTTTTTGTAATGTACAAGCCAATTTGAATTTTTTCTAGCTTTAATGTTTTTCTTTATAATAAAGATCCGACAACCAAGAAACAAGTTTGTGTTCTTTTTTTTTAATTTCAGGGAAAGATTTTTTCCAGTTTGACAGCTTCCAGCTAACTGTGAAAATCCGTATTGGGTCACTGTAGTTAGAATTGAGAATTCGCATCGGGTTACTGTAATTAAACTTGAAAATCCAGATTGGGCTACTGTAGCTTTTGGTATTCGAAAAACCTGCATCAGAATCATCCTTTATTCTGATAGAAACAAGAAATATCCACCAAAAACACAATCTCCTATTTACCAAAATGAAAAATTTGTTTTTTTAAAGATTTTCAGGTTTTTTTTTCTGTTTTTCTAAAGAATATATGCTCCCTACAGTAACCCGGAATTCTAAACTATTAGCTTGTGAACCCTCAAAAGTTTCTGACACTGACTATAGTAACTACTATCCACTTCCTGGGCGATTTAACAGTTTGTATTCTCAAATTTCATCCTTCTTTGGTCACTGTAGTTAGAATTGAGAATCCACATCGGGGTACTGTATTTAAACTAGAAAATTCAAATCTTCGTATGTTTTGGATACTTACGAAAGAAGTCATAATATATATTTGAATCCATGTCTAGAAACTCACTCCCGACATCAAAACATCCATATTCCAATCACCGCCAAGGACATTCAAATATATATTTTTCTGTCTTTTTCTTCTTATTCCTCATTTCTGCTTCTCCCAATTCACAACATGATTCAAAAAAGCGCGCGCAAGCGTAAGTCAAAATGTCTTCAAAGACATTCGACCGAATTTTGTTTGCTTGGGAGTGTGTAATGTTTTATGTTGACCACAATCCATGTCTAATTAGTACAGTAAGCCGACGAAAAATGTGTTTAAACGGTTCCTTCAAGAAAAAAAAAGAAGCCGATTGGAAGGAATGGAAAGTGAGAGAGAAAAGTGAAATTAGAGAAAATTCAAATGATGTTGACACCTGTCCCCCAGCCAAGCTTTGTTTTTGATTCTATTCATTCAAAAACATAGACGATAAGCAGAAGAAAAAAGAGAAAGAAAAAACAATAAGGATACATATTTGTAGAGGTCCAAAAAGAAGTAGAAGACGTTGTAGGACACAGAGAAAATTTGAAAATGGGTGATGACGACGACTAATATACAGTGAGGGACTTTTCATAAAGTTTAGAAATAATGTCACGATCTGTGGATTTTGGAGAAATGACAATGTTGGGAACTGAGTGACTGGCTGCCTCGGTGAGATGGTCTGAAAATGGATGAGCGATTTATTTATTTATTTACGATTGCAAGAATCGTGAAAAAAGAGAAAAAGAGATTTAGAATATTTCAGAGGTCCACAAGGATACTGTAGGCATTTCTCGAAACATGGAAAATCTAAAAAGAGGTTTCTCGCATTTTAGAAACCGCAGCTCTGAGTTCTACCAGATGAATGTTGTTTTCCCACTCACCAATATCTGAATACTCGAATCCCATTCCTTTCAAACCATTTGGAACACCGAAGTCCTTCATGAATCCTCTCAATTGATCACACAGGGTTCGAGAGATATATTCGTTATCCGCGTTGTTCTAAAATAAAATTCTATATGGAGCTTGATCTCGTCGGGAAAATCCCTTACCGGAATATCAGCTCCAAGAGTCTGAGCAGCAACTAAATGTCTATCTGGACACGCGGCAGTCGTAAACTCAAAATCAGCGACTGCAGTTGTCATAACAGAAAGTCCATGTGGAATAAGATTCTTGTCTTGTGGATAATCGTGAGCAACACATCCTTTTGCTTGAGAACTGATTGGGTATGAGAGTCCATGACACAGATGGACCCCGGCGTTCCCGAACCCAATTCCAGCGAAAGAGCTGGCTTTGAGCATTTCTGTACGAGCTTCCTCGTCCGATGGATCGAACACAGAACGCCGGAAATATTGTCCGATGATCTAGAAATATTAGGATTACTGTAGGTAATAGGTTAAAATCAACTAACTCTCAAGGCTTCTCTACTCCAGACATCACTGATCGGATTAGATCCTTGATAAACTGGACGAACTTCTGGACGAGCTGGTCGTGGAGATCGCTGATCATATGGAAGAGCGGTGTAGCTCTCAAGAGCATGACAAAGAACATCGAATCCAGAATAGATTGCCACATTTCTTGGCATGCTCATGACATTTAATGGATCCACAACTGCCAGATACGGTTTGATGCATCTCAATCGGATTCCAGTTTTACACTTGTGTTCCGGAAGGTCCATAATGGCAGCTGCAGTTGTTTCGGATCCAGTTCCAGCGGTGGTTGGTACGGCGATAAGAGGTAGCATCGGATTTTTGGGTTGGAGAGATTTTCCAAATGGGGGACCGACAAAATCCAGGAAATCGGCTTCTGGATTTGATGCGTAGAGAGCTGCTGCCTTGGTTGTGTCAATCACAGAACCTCCACCGACTGCGATGAAACTGTCGAATGGTTTCGATTTGGCAAAAGCGATTGCTTTTTGCATACTTTTCTCGGATGGTTCAATGAGCACGTCATCGAATATTTCGTATTCGATGTTCACCATTTTCAAAGCTTGTTCGGCATTTCTGAAAATTTTATAGGTTCAAAAATTTCGATAATTGTAAACAGTATTCTAGACAAAACTAATATTTGGTATAATAGTGAGAAAATTCTGAATTCTGAAAAGTTTTCATACTCCTAACATGTATAATTATTATTGCCAGATTCTTGAATTCTGAATTGTCAAAACTCACTTGAATGCAATAGTATTCTGCACATTCTTATCAGTAATCAACAGTGTCTTTTTCGCTCCGAGATTGCGGACGTCGTATCCGATCTGATAAAACAAAACATAGATTAATTGGTGATCTGTGACTATATGTATACCTCCAAAGTGACACCTTTTCCAAAACGAAGAGTAGAGCAGACCATTTCGAAAGCATAGTCAGTGGATTCTGGAATTCAAAAAATAGAAAAAGAACCAAAAAAAAATATTATGCAGGTACCAAAAATCTAAGCTATGGAAGAGAAACGCATGTGGCCATGGCAAAGGTTTCATAACTACAACTACAGTAACCTAAAAGTTATGTTATTTTCTGAGTTATTCAATCAATTTTCGTACGATTTCAGTCAATTTTTTACAACCAAAAAATGTTTCGACTTGTTTGGGGAAAATGAGAATGAAGAAGAAAAATACTGTAGTTGTAGTTTTGAGACCTTCGACCACGACGGCCATCGCTTCTCTTGCAGCTCCAATTTTTTGTATCAATATAAAATCCAGTTAAAAATCAAAATTAGCAGGAATAGGGTCGGAATCAAACATAAAAACATACTATTATTTCCATGAAGTTTTGCCATTCTGAATGGATTCGTAGTTGGTGCATGATGAGGACAACAAGATCCACCCATTTTGTGGAGCATACCACGTGCCAAGCTTGCGCTCATCTTCTAAAAATTTCAGCTAATTTTAAAACTTCAAGAATGGGAAACAGTCAAGTCCGTTTAAGTGAGCCACCAGCTAACAACGTGGATAAGATGTTTTATTGGTAAACAAAAAAATAAGAACGTGAACCGTCACGTTTATATAAAAGATAGGGCGAGAAATAGAGAAGAAAAGAAAAAGGAGAGAGGGTATGTGAGATAAGAGACGCAGACACATCGAACAGCATTGATCAGTTTTCGAACATTAATGTTAGAAGATAGAAAGACATTGTTTGAACTAGGGTTGTTGCTGGCCGCCAGTGCCAGAGCTATGGGGTTTTCAATTTCACGTGATTTGCATTAAAAGCCAGCGAAATTTTTAAGCAGGCAACATTCGCCTGTTTAAAATTTGAACCGGCGCCAAATGCCGCTTTCTTTTTGAGAATATTAGGTTGTTCGGAAAGTCCTTTCCACTTTTGATATGTTGTTTTCAAACTTCGTTTTCTTGAAGAGGATAAAAGCGAGGAAGTTCTCGTTTTATCAGTACGCTAGTGAGGTCTAATAGTGTCTACACCCCAACGGAGATCATTATCCTCTTTTCGTGCAGTGAGATATGCCCACCGTTTTCGCCTCTAATAATTTCCATTTTTGGACTACCATTTTATTTGTATTTCTATCTGACCTCAGATCAACTGAAATCAATCACCAATTTGTGGAGGTTAACAACGAAGATGCACCCTTTCGAACAAACTTCACAACCTGAATTCATCAATTTGAAAAATTAAAATTCTCGTTGGACGAAAATCCCCCTCCAAAAAAGCATACGGGCTCAGCTTTGGACGCATTAAAAACCGGGATTGAAAGGGACCCGTCTCATATATCAAGTACATCAGTGGTAAGCCTTTCGTCAAAAAGCCATAAATTGGGAACTCTCGGCAAAGTAAAAAAAGTGGGAAGATATGGATCACACCTTTTCGCTCAAAGCAACTTTGTTTCATGTATGGGCACCTGATTAAATCTTCTCATCCTGCGTTGCACACATGAATGTTGAAGTTAAATCATTACTAGTGGCGATAAATGGGTAATGTATGATTACTATAAACAACAATCCAAGTGGGTTGACAAAGGCACTCAACCGCCAGACGTCCCGAAACGTGAAATTAACGTTAAAATGGGATGTTTTCGGCATGGATGTCTACCAAGGAGTGGAGTATTGGGAGCTGCCAGATAATGGTGTCACTTTTATGACCGATACCTATTTTTGTCAGGTGACATAACTCAGACTCCATGTGGATCTCCATTGGAGAGAAACACAAAGGTTTATTTTCAAAATCGAAATTCGCAACCTCATGCTGGAAGGAGAACGGAGACCGATCTCACTGGATACGGCTAAACGGTTCTGTCTTATCTACAGTATAGTCCAAACCTTGTACTGTCTGACTACCCCCTATCCAGCCATTTCTACCGACATCTTGATTGAAAAAAATTCACTTCAAAGCATGATCTCAAAAATGGGTTGACCTGATTTTCAATGCGCTGTGACCGGAGTTCTCGAAGGAAGGCATCCACAATTTGGTGGGACATTGACAGATAGTCACTGATAACAATGATCCTTATCTTCAATTTATTTTTTTTTCACTAATATCCTCTCAATGTAGCTTCAATCTTAATTATCTCAGTTCTTATGAAAGATAGCAGAAAACGGTCAACTGATAAAATGCTCCAAATTTCAAGAAAAACATTTTGGCAGTTGACAGTTTTGTCATATGTTTCACAAGAAATCAGATAATTGAGGTTAAAGGGAAAAAATGGGAATTATAAAATGTTGGAACGAATTTGGTATTTGAGAAGTTACCACTAGTCTCCCATTAGTAGTTATCGTGATTATGTCTGGATTGAGGTTTAGTTCAAAAGTATTTGTTTAGGATTTTAGAATTTAAAGTTGTAAACTTCGATTTTCGGGACTTCAGTATGCAGGTTTCAAAAAACCCCGAAGTTTAGTGATCTTGACATTTTAAATTTCAAAAATTTAGGAATCAAAACATTTTTGATCGGTCAAAAATGTAAAGCATGACAGTACAGAAACTCCAACAATAGTTTTTGAAAAACGATGAAAATACTGAAATTTCCAGGAAACTCAAAAATTCTTGAATCCTGAAAATTCGAAGTTCGGAAATTTTCAGGAAAGTGTAGTTTCCTGAAATCGATAAATTTTCAAAATCACACAAACCATAGACCTTTTAAATATCTGAAATTCTGAAATTTCCGAAAACATTTTTCAAAAGCTTCAGATACCAGATTTTCAAAATTTCAAACAGAATTCCAGAAGTAATAAAATATTTCGAAGAAATCAATTTCATTCCATTTGACTGTTTCGGGTCGATCATCTGTTGTTTTTTTTCTTTTTCAATCTTTTCTCTATTAAGTATTTTCTATTGAAAAGTACATCTTTTAAAAACCCGGCGTTTAATGCCTGTGAAATATTTTGCTGGCGATTCACGCCGCTTTAAAAACTGGCACCGGCGGCCAGTGCAAAAATTAAAAGCCGCGTGTGGCGCCAGAAAACGCCGTTTTGGCCAGCCTAGTTTGAACTACATGAAAAACTCTGTGAAAAATCGCAAGCTTTTTTCGAAACTCTAAAAGATAGAGAATTCTGAAACATTTTAAAAACACATTTCCAATTTCAGTTCTTCTAAGTTCCAGGTCTGAAAACTTCTGAAGTTAGACTAACTATAAGGACAGCCAAAAATGGCCGGTCTACGGACTACGAACAACGGAAAACAGACAAAATTTTGATCAACGAGTATTTTGGAAAAAAGGACAGGAGCGAATTCATAATGGAAAAAAGAAATGTTAAATGGAACGGACCTTATCCAACATTTTAACAGCCTTTCCAGGAGAAAACTTTCAATTGCAAATTTACTGGTAAATGGACGAACAAACATTTTTTCAACGGACAAAGGACAATGGACTCTCCACGCATCTTTGGTAAGGACCACGACATTAACACAACTAAAAATAAAGACCAAACTGAAAGATCACGACAAAAACTAGAACCGCGAAGACGAGCCGAAAAGACGTCATCGAAAAACCACCAACGATGGAAAGCATGCGGGCAAGAAAGCAAAAAAGAGAGGCATCACAAAAAATAAATCAAGTTCACGAAGTTCTGACATACAACGCCGACTCCTTTGTCCCGTTGCATTCGAAATCTGAAATTCGACTAGTTGATACGGTGTTTTTCATTTTTAAAGGGATCCCATCAAGTTGAAGAATTGACTAAAAAACTAAAAATAAAAATTTTCAACTACTCACCTTCCATTATATTTGATCTTCAGTTCTGCCAATTTTGCCTTGGAAGCTGTCCTGGCAATTGCATCCCGGAAACCAAGTAGCTCCTAGAACTTGAACATTTGAAAATTGAATACAGATTTTGCTACTATACCAGCCTGTTTGCCGTACCTCCGGCGCTTCAAACGCTGGCTGGTGCGCCTTCGGCGCAAATTAACCTATTTTTCATTTTAATCGTCGCTTCGCTCCTCTGCCTTACTCCCATTTATATTTTATTGCAAGTTTTTCCACGTGTGTGGACAAACTGACAGAGAAAGAGACCCAACTTCATTTATTTATTATAAGAATGATGAGTTGAGGGATGCCACTAAAAGTTGCGATTTTTACGTGATGTTTTTTACATTTTCAACTGAAAACAAACCCCCAGCACCCAACAAAAAAAAGTATTACAAAAAAAGTCTAAAGTATAAAAAAATAGTCAATAATTGTTTGTTAGAGGAGGCCAGACACCAAAAAAAAGTTTTCCTGATATTTTGCATAGAGAACCCCCATGAGGGGTTGAACTCATGACAGGCAGCTCAGGGGTACTGCGCCGCTACCGGCTGAGCTACGGGGGCGCGAAGGCGCCCGACGAACGATGGTCTACATAAGCGCGGCGCGATTTCGGCCCCCGAACTGCCCCCGAAATTTTTGCTGTCTCGCCTCCTTTAGGCCAAATTATAAAAAAATCACGTAAAAATCGAAAAGCGTATAGCCCCTTTTTATTTTCCCCACTGACTAAAAATTTTACAAGGGAGTTACTTGAGGGAGCAGTTTTAACTTTTTTTGAAATTTTGGGAGCAGATAGAAGAGCTTATGAGGATTCCAAATCTGTTAAAAAAATCAGCAAAATGCTCACGTGAGCTGAGTTATGACCTATAAAAGTTTTCCTATGATTAAGCAATTTCTCGTGAAATTTTTTCACGGAATAGTTTTTTCACGGAATAGTGGGAAATATTTCTTTTAAAACAATAGATTTCAATCAGCAGTGTGGTAAAGTGGTAAAATGGCAAGTTCAGAGGAGGAAGGTTGTAGGTTCGATTCTCCCTATCCCAAAAATTTTGCAACATTTTTTTTTGTTTCATTTTAAGCTGTCATAACTGGCTCTGGAATAAAATTTACGCAATCTAAACATGTTTTTCGGGAATTTCTCGTTATGAATAGGCATTTTCCAGAATAAAAACAGACATTTAATTTTTGAAGAAATTCACAAATATGCTCATGGGTTCATCAAAGATTTTTCAAAATTTTTTTTCAATTTTTTTTTGCTTGTTTTTTATTGAAAAAAACAGTTGAGGATTCTAAACACATCGGTGGCATTCCATGACAAACTGCTGGAAACATATGTTCTTGGCACAATACGCGCATTTGACCATTGACAATCTTTTGCACCCAGATAATTGGCACTTTCCATAAACTTTCCGGTCGAAGCAATATTGAATCTGGGTACAAAATATTGTCATTGGTCAAATGCGCGTATTGTGCCAAGAACATATGTTTCCAGCAGTTTGTCATTGAATGCCACCGATGTGTTTAGAATCCTCAACTGTTTTTTCAATTAAAAAAAACAAAAAAATTGAAAAAAAAGTTTGAGCATATTTGTGAATTTCTTCAAAAATTAAATGTCTGTTTTTATTCTGGAAAATGCCTATTCATAACGAGAAATTCCCGAAAAACATGTTTAGATTGCGTAAATTTTATTCCAGAGCCAGTTATGACAGCTTGAAATGAAACAAAAAAAAATGTTGCGAAATTTTTGGGATAGGGAGAATCGAACCTACAACCTTCCTCCTCTGAACTTGCCATTTTACCACTTTACCACACTGCTGATTGAAATCTATTGTTTTAAAAGAAATACACTATTCCGTGAAAAAATTTCACGAGAAATTGCTTAATCATAGGAAAACTTTTATAGGTCATAACTCAGCTCACGTGAGCATTTTGCTGATTTTTTTAACAGATTTGGAATCCTCATTCTATCTGCTCCCAAAATTTCAAAAAAAAGTTAAAACTGCTCCCTCAAGTAACTCCCTTGTTAGTAAAGCGAGATATCCGAACCCCATAATTTTTCGAAATTCTGCCGATTCCCATTTTCTCACCTTTCAGCTTACGCTACTTTTGTCATCTCGATTCGAATCCTGCCAATAAACTGCATGAGAAGCCATCCGTGGCGTTTTGGAAGTTGTTGGATTCGGGAAGCCATGCACCTATTAAATTTTAACATACTAAAAATTGATTTTTACTTAAAGTTCGAAAAAAGGAAATCCGGTTCTGATTCCCTCACCGATCGGCCTATTCTTATACTTCTTTTATCTCAATTCGAATCATGCCAATCCTGGAAACTGCTTCAGAAGCCGTCCTCGAAGTCCTGAAGTTGGTGCATCCCGGAAACCAAGAAGACCCTGAACTTGAACGTTGCAAACTATGTACTGATTTTCCCTTTATTTTTTTCAAAACCTGAACTTTGCCCCCATTTCTTCTTGATACAGCATTTTTGGAATTTCCAAATTTCCTCACCTCTCATCCTATTCCGCTACTCGTGATGTCCTGATTCCCGTCAACCCTGTCCTGGAAGCTGTCGTCGCATTTGATACACTCCGGAATCCAAGCTGCTTCTGGAATTTGAAAATTGTAAATTTACCAAATCCCATTTCCTCACCTTGTATTCTATTCTGCTACCAAATCCTACCAATCCTGAAAACATCCCTGGGAGATATCATTGAAGTCCAGGAACTTGTTGCGCCCTGAAGACACCTGAAGGGTCCTGCACGATCCTGCAACTTGAACGTTGGAAACTAAGTACTGATTTTCCCTTCATTTTTCTTTCAAATTCTGGAGTTTGCCCTCATTAGGCTTTCACGGAGGTCACATACTTATGTAGAAAACCTATAATTTCAAAAGAAAATTTTTGCCGTAAACGCTGTCTTCCTTATATATAAAACGCTAGAGATGTCTGTTGGTCCCCATGTCACGCTGTCCGGTTTTGAAAAAAATGAGTACATTTACGTGATTCTTTAAGAAAACGTGAAAAGCGAAACGACGAACCAGTAAAAAAACTAGATTAAATCGCGCCGTAGGCGCACCAGCCTGCTGATTGAAGCGTCGGAGGCGCGGCAAACAGATGGCTGGTATTATGAATTAGGAACAAGCATTGGAGGCTAGAGGTAATCGGACTGGAAGACGAGGTAGAGACTTCAGAATCCGAGCTGTATACTGGATGTTGGGCTAAAATATACAAGAATGTTTTATTGTCCCAACGCATGCATAGATGTCAAACCAACATCTTTTTGAAACATTTTGTAAGCTCACAATCAGGAAGAGATGGTTTCAAACCATCTTTTTTGAAAGAGCTGAAACTTGAACTACGTATTAACATCATTACGCGAGCTCTCATTTTTCTCGCTCTCATTAATAGCAGCCTTTCAAAAAACATAACAATTCCCACTGCTTTTTACATCCGGTTGCACAATTTCCCTTCGCCTATTTATTTGTAAAAAAGATCTTATCTTGTCGACATCTACCGCATCTTCACCTTAAATTACTGACAATATAATTTATTGAGAACCATACATGATGGCTTTACTATATAGTATATGCCCTACTTCCCAGGAGCATGAGAACACGACATCCGGTATGATCGGTAACTGCACAGCATTTTCCCATGAGCTCGAACAACGTAGATCTGGGTGGGCGGGGCGAAAACCAGGTACAGAAAAAAGTATATAAGGAGATAGGTTTGGATAGCAAATCACCCTTTCTTGTTCATTAAGTCAGTCAATTCTATACCGTAACCATGTCTTTTTATTACTCTGCTCCATCTTTCTATTCCTTCCACTATGTCCCACGGACCAATCGTCTTAATCATGACCAGAAGAAATCCTTGGATAACTATTCTCGCTATATGGCTGAAAAAATGATTGAGATCCAAGACCAGTATTACTATGAATCCCAATTAGCCGAATATCGAGTATACAGCTCGGACTCTGAAGTCTCCACCTCGTGTTCCAGTCCGATTACCTCTAGCCCACCTCCAATGCTCGTCCCAAATCCATTCTACAATCCGGAGCTTGCCAAGCAGATCTTGGCTGAACGACAGAAGAAGCAGATGGCATCCAAACCAACCCAACCAATCTCACCAACTGGAGTCAAGCTTGTCCCAAATCCATTCTACAATCCAGAACTCGCCAAGCAGATCATGTCCAAGAAGTCTACGTCCAAGAAGTTATAATTCCGGTGTTTTAATTATTCCTCGTTCCATTCCCTAATAATTTGTATTACGGTTTTTGTTCTTTTTCTTTCGTTCGGTGTTTTACTTGTATTTGTTTTTCTAATAACTTCCATCTTTCAATAAATTAAATATTACTTCAAAACTTCTTCTATTGTTTCAAGTTCAAATACCTACAATTTGTCTTCAGAATAGGATGACATCTATCCAATACCAATTTCTCCCTCGTAAAGACTTCAACAGTGATAAGCATTAAATAATACTTCGAAATCGATTCCTTAATTGAATTTGTATCTTAAAAACTCACAATCAGGTCATTTCTTGAATTGAATCCAGTTCTTTTTCACCTTCTCAAGCATATTTCTCAATGTTTAATTTTTCGTCAGGTATGTCAGCGCGTTTTGTGACTCCTAGAGTTTGCAACCGTCTTCAAATTTCTGGCTCATTTTTTCCAAATATCATAAGTTCTACAATAAAAACATGAACATCTTTTTAAAACCCTATCGGTCAGAAAAAAAAAGTTCTCAATTCGCAACCTGCGATATAATATCACCAATTCACTAAATTTCCCATTTTTTAAAAATTTCCATTCAAAATGGAATTATATGTAGATTCATGTCAAAAACATATGAATCTCACTCGTTGCGCTTACACTTCAATTCCTGCTGGACCAGTGTATCGGACCAAACCAAAATGTGCTCTTCGGAAAAATGTGTTCTTTAGAAGAGTAATTATGTGAAGTTACGTATCATACCGGATGTAGGGTTCCTTTGCTCCTGGGAAGTAGGTAATAGTAATTCCATATGGTTCTCTATAAATTATATTGTCCGTAGTTTAAGGTGAAGATGACCCAATAGAGATCGGCGAGATAAGGCCAATTATTAGGTGAAGGGGGTTCATTTTAGCGGATGTAAGAACGATATGAACGACGGGAACTACAAAAGGGAAGAAGGAATACAATGTATTGAAAACTGTTTCAGATCATATTTTTATTTTTCTGAAAATAAAACAGGTGTCGATCATTCAAGTACCTTACAAAGTGATCCAAAAATTATAATTTTAGGGTGTTTTTGTGTCATAAATCTAAACTATGACAATATAGGGAAAATACACTTGATAAGGATTATGTGAGCAAGATTTTAAGTTCGAATTCACACTTCGACAAAGAAAAAGAAAATAATTTATTGTTTACTCGGTTTGTAACAAAAAACTAGAAAAAAACACCAAAAAAAAGTGAAGCCGATGGTCGTTTTGTTCACAGATGGATCCTCCCGAATCCTTCGAATTTCTTTCTTCATGGATTCGGCTTATAGTAGATATTCTTGTTGGGCTCTTCAGCTTTTCCAGCCTTAGCAAGTGCCACGTGGTGCACCATCGGGGCCAACTGCTCCGGCTCCATTTGTATTTCCACTGGTTTCGGAGATAAATCTTTTGTTTTTGGGTCTTTTGGCAATGCAAATGCTGATGGTCCTTTCGCATTTCGTTCAAATTTCTCCCTTAGTTCGTTCAGCGCGTATTCGGTTTTTGCTTTGTAGTGGAATCGGATGAAGATCTGGAAACTTCAAACTTCATTTTTTTGTAAGAGGAGTTAAACCAACATGAACGACCAGAAAAATGACAATCATGAACAGAATCACAGCCATGAAGACGTGAACGGTTGATTCTACTTGACCGGTGATGACATCTAAAATTCGAAATTTTTAGGTTGAATTCAGATTCTTTATATTCGAAAACTTACGTAACCCATTATTCGTTTGATCATTTCCAGCATCTGAAATACATACAAATTAGAACTGAACCATTATTATGTCAGAGAATTCACTTTGTGCCTCTTTCAAAAAATTCAGTATTGCACTGCGGCCATGATTTTTTTTCAGTTCGCCAAAAAAGGAAACGAAAATGAAAAAATAAAACAAACCGCCCATATACTCCTCCATCGAACTGTTCGTTTTTCCTGACATGTCAGCTGCTGAAATGAACCCAAAACCTTGTCAAATGAAAGAAATATTTATATTTTTTATTTACGTTGATCTCTGTTTCTTCTTTTTGGATTTTTTCGAAATCCAACTCTTGATCGAAATATTCAAAAAGTGACACGTTTTTATTCAGTTATGTACAAACACTGGATGATTCGAGGAAAGATGGGGGAATGAGACGACCCGTTTAGGAACAAATGAAAAAATATGATACAGAAACTAAATTTAAAAAATAATAAGAGCGATAAAATCAAACGGCATCTTTGTGTGGAAGAGCCGGAGCCATTTTGCCCAATTGATCCAAATTTCGTTGAACACTTTTGATTCCGATTATGATTCGAGTTTTTGGGAATTCGAAGTAGGCGATTGCGTAGAAGATGGAGTTGCAGCCAACTTCGATAAGTTCAGCAAGGGAGAATAGGTTGTAGGCTGTAAAAGGGGAATGAGGGCTTTTCGAATTTTCTTCAAAAAATTCATAAGTTCAAAGATTTCGAAATCTCTATGAAATAGCAAACGGTTGAAAATTTCAGATGAAACACTAGGATTTCTTGAAAAATAAAAATTTGGGAAGTCCTAAATCTTTTCGGAAGTCTAAAATCTAATTTTAAGTCTCAAAAATGCAATACCTCTAAATTTTCAGAACATTTTTGAATTTTGAAAAACTTGTACGAACAGTTGTAGCTTAGAAATAATGATTTTTTAATATTGGAAATTTCTAAAAGTTTTCAAAACAAACGGACTGCTTCTGCTCATTTTTTTTCCAAGTCTATGTTCAACTGAAACTGTCAAAAATGTACAAAACTCACCAAACGGAGAACAATGAGCCGTGAAATATGGATAAGTGATAGGTGTAGAAATCGCACAGAAGTATCCAATGAGGAAGATGACACACTTTATCCGCCACGTGGTTTCCATCTGAAATTATACAAAATCGAGTAAAATTTAATTTTTGAAACTTTCTAGAGATCCAAAAATGTAGACTTTTCCTTACCCTATCGTGAACATCTCTACATCCTCCAAAATGATGGAGTAAAATATTGAAGAGCATATTGAAGTTGAAACAAATGATCCAGATGGCAAATCCAAGGGCATGGAGGACTGAAATTGTTGTATTCCTTCAATTTTCTCTTTTTAAAGCTTACTAAATCCTCCATTAATGTCCACAACAGAAACCAAAATCAGTCCGAACGGCTCCGCCCACAGTGTGAGCATGTAGATGTAGTTGATTCTAGAGTACCATTGAGATTTTGGAGCAGAGATGAGGAATAAACGGCGGTAAAGCTGAAAAGTTAATTTGAGGTTTGTGAGATTGAAAAAGTTATACCGTCAGGAACGCAAGTCGAGGAGGTAGATGGATGAACATTATCATCATCCAGATGTATTTCTGAGGAGACCAGATGCCAATCGAGTACGAGACAGGAGGTAAGGTTCTGGAAAAATCAGAAAGGTTCTAGAAGTCATTTTCAAATCAAATCATTCTCCATTGACATCTAAATCACTGATCCAGTAGTTAACCTACAATCATCAAAACATCCTATCAAACATTAAGGTCATTAATATGATTTGCAAAGTATGAGAGACGATTACGTCTGTTTCGTCAAATTTCAAAAATCAAACGAAAAATAGACTCACATGTTCAAATTGGGACATTCTTTACATTCAGTGAAGTTTGAGACTTTTTCAAATTGGAAGACGTAGGTGTAGGCGACGACAAAGTAGCATCCAGCTCCAGGGAGAAGCGCTCCAAGACAAACAAGCCAGCGAACTGAAAATTGGAAATTCGGGATGAAACATGCAATCATGATATATTTATAACATTGTACACTGTTGGTATCTATCGTACTCGCGCGCGGTAGAAAATCTGCGACCACCGACCGACCGCCTACAAAGCTGACTGAAATCGTGCAGCTGGACCGGTGTTCGGACGCTCGACTAAATTCCCCCACCGAATGGAAAAATTAGTTAGTAAGCTCTAAATCATCCGTAACGGATACTGCAAGCAATACCTAATAGTAAGGAAAAACTTAACGTGCTTGAATATCAGAAACCATTTAAGACCTTATAATTAGAAATTGGCTCGAAAAAATAGCATGAACTAAGTTTCGAAAGATTTTCAATTGCAAAAATTCCTGACTTATAAAACATTTGAAATTTGATATTTCTTGAAAAACTATTAAAAAAAACAACTCACTCTTGAGCATCCTTTCTACAGTATCCTCAATCGGCGACTTCATCGGCTCTTTCTTCTGTTTCGACTTCTCGGCCATCGATGTCATTGTCATTGTCGTTGTCATCTGAGGAACTACTGTAGCCGTCATCGTCTGCAATTGACCTCCTCGGTCTTCACTACCTTTAAATACATTTTTTATGTCAGTGCCCTTTTTTTCATTCTCCAGACTCCGCCTCTTTTTTCCCGAATGTGGTCAAGGAATAACCAAAGAAGGGGTAAAAAACATGACTGAAAAAGAGAAGGAGGAATGTAAATAGGAGAAGAAAAAAGAAGAAAGCAACACGAAAACAAGAAAAGTAATCGAAATCAAAACATAGAATGAAAGAAGAAAAAGGAAATTGAATAGTAAAATCAAAATTAGTGAATGTGAATGAACAAATGAATAGAATAAAAAACACGAGAAGAAGAAGTAATGGAAACAATAGAACAGTAGGAAAAATAACTAGATTATGAAATCAGAAGTTTCCAGAATAATAAAGACAAATGGACTTAAATGAATAGTTCGTAATGTGTCAAGAGGGCGTTTTCCTAGTTTTTTGAAATAATGAAATGTTCTAAATGTTCTAAATTTCACTAAAAGATGCCAAACGTTTGAATGATTTCCGTTTCAGGTTTCAAACTAGGCATTTTTAAAAAGGTTACCATACGTCATCTGGAAGATCTCTAAAAGATCTCAGATTTAGTCTGATCATCTGTTTTGGATTAAGTTTTGAAACGTCATTTGACAGTAAGAAAACCTATTCGAAAACAGTTTGGTTAGACTAACAAGATAATAAAAATAGGATTTAGACGAAAGCGAATTGAAGAATCTAATGAGGGATTCAAATTTTTTATTCACAAACTTTCGAAAGACTGTAGGCCACAGTAGTAGTGTATGCAGACCCCACTTTGTATCATCTCGACTGTGTAGGTCACAAAGTTGGAACGAAAAAACCTGAACATGTTTGAATCGAGATAAGAAATCGAGAAAAAAAAGGTAGAGGTAAGTTTTTTTTTGTTTCAGATTACACTTTTATACAGAAATTTACGGCGATATGTTCAAATTATTAAATGTGAACAAAGAAGCTGAACATTATAAGACGAACGATTAAAAACAATTTCAGGTAGGTTTTTTTATCTATTATTAGAGAAAATATTTATTTACTTGAAAACTTTTTGCAGAGAAGGAAAAAAGTCTCAATGAATTCAAAAATGGCTGAAAATTGCATTAAAGCAATTTGGAAAAGAACTGAGCAAAAAAATAAATAAATAAAAATTCGGTCGGAGTCCCCCTTTAAAGTTGAAAAACCACTTGAAAGTGAATAGCTTGTGCCAAAAGTGTTGAAAAAACTGAATAAAATTTTGAGGAAAGACGGTTTTCCCTGTGTGTAAACATGTGTGTAACACTAACAAGTTATTTTGGATCTTATTAGTTACGAATGGATGGTCAGTTATACTATCTCTACATCCGACTTTCAAAGAATCCTAAAAAAGCCTGGGGAATTCTCTTTCTCTGATTCTCTCTCCCTCTCCATCCATTCTCCTGCAAATCTTCCCACCTTTCTTCTTACACAATCAATCTACAAAAGCTACACGCAGGATCGAAAGATCTGCCAATGATCCTCCCTCCATATCACTTGCCAAACCTAATCCATTCAAATCAACAACTCAAAATAAAAAAAAAAACGGGTTTCAGAATTCTGTGATGAATCGAGAATTAAGAATCGAACGAGGCAAAAAAGAAGAGGGAGGTGTGGGAATGGAAAATCATTACATCCCCAGAATTTAACATGACATCTATTCTCCCTACTTTTGTTCGTATATGCAACCACCTTGAGAAATAAGGAGAGGCAAGAAGAAGTTTAGTGTCAAGAATCTGGTTCCGGGGGAGAGGTCACGACACCATAAAGAAGTGGAAAGAGGGACGAAGAAGCTAACTGGATTTCAATTGACTCGTATTTCAGAAAAGAGAGACCTCTTCCTTTTTCAGTTTCTGCAATCATCTGCAACAATCTCACCATCAATGATCACGAATGATGTGATATGTAGTCGAAAAAGATGGAAAACGTACTTTTGAGAATTCGTTATCACACCTGGAGGTGATGAGTTGTTACAATAATCATATAAGATCAAAGGACCTAAAAAGGACGATTCATGTTTGATGGATTACATTGTTTGAAGCTTGGAACTAGTAGAAAATATTTTTTAATTAGGTTGTAGAAAAAAACTACAAAATCCAAGTTTTATTGTCGTTCTTGAACACTCAGACTTGTTCAAAAAATTACGTTAACAATTGCGGTAAAAGGAAACTCCCACTACATTTTTTTGTAATTGTTTTACATAAAAATGTTCCAAAATTTGCGTATTTTTACAATTCTACTTCGAAAAAGTTCAGAAAAAGTTTGAAATTTCTGAAAAACGCCGTCGAAAAGAGCGCTCGATTCTCGTCCAAGAGGGTCGCGGGAATCGTAGTCCATGACCACTGTGTGCGCTGTTTTTGCATTCAATTTTTTAGAATTTTCAGTCGTTTTTTTCTGTATTTTTAGAGAAATTTAATTGTTTGATTAATAATTCGAAGGAGAGAACAAAAAGCCTCGCTGACCTCACAAATGGCTGAAAATTGAATGAAGACAACATGGACGAGAACTGAGCGCACTTGTTTTTTTTTTGCCGGCGTTTCAGAGATTTCGAATGTTTAAAAACATTTTCAGAAGTGATCTTCCGAAAATAGATAACCTTGGGAACATTTTAGTGCAAAAAATATATAGAAAATTTATTACGATTCCCCCTTTAAATAAAAAAAAGAGATACCAAAACCCCGTAAAAACTGGGCCAAACCATTTTTGACGTCTTCTTCCAGATGACGTAAAAAATGCTATTCCACAGATCGAAACACATTGATTTTATTATCCACATCTTCTATCAGACAATCGTTTCTTGTGATGACGTCTACTCGAGACGAAAAATGATCTTGTAAATTGGGCGAGGACTATCCTTTAACGGTTTTGACGTAGTTTCTCCACAAGACATGTGACATGACAAAAAACCATAGACGATGACACAAAGTTGAACAGTTTGTTCGAGTGGTCACAGATGAAGTTGCTAGAACCGTTTCAAGAGTTTCATCGAAAAGTTTTGTTTGAAAGATACGGTAGAATTGAGATTGCATTTACTATTAGTTTGATCGGTTAGAATTAGAGACTCACGATCGAGTTTTATTTGATCAAGTGTTCAAAAGAGCAGTTATAGCAGAAGAGAAAAATGAAAAACGGTGGGGTTTTTATCAAAAAGGCGAGAAAAAGTGGAAGAAGCAAACATGATAACAAATGATTCATAGCTGATAGAGTTTCCGTTTTGCATGGGAGAAAAAGCAGAACGAAATTTATTTGACGGGGCATGGGAATTTCAAAATCTTCAAAAGCTACGAAACCTAGGAATCTTAGAAACTTCAAATCTCGGAATCCCACAATCTTATAAACTCTGGGTTTACTAATTTCTGAAGTCCGAGAAAAAACAACAAGAATTATTCCAGATGTTCGAGATGTTTTAGAAGACCTAATTCTATTTTTCTGACCCAAACCTAGTCACACTCCTTATCACAAAACTTCAAGTTTCTCCGATTTCCTAGCACCGCCCATCACCAACTACCATTTCAGATGAAAATAGTCTCAATAATGTTTTTAAACATGGTCCGAATGTGTTGTACATATAATAAAAAGGTACATGGATATATGTAATTCTCCTCCATCTTGGCGTGGCAGACAAGAAAAACGATTTGCGCCGAAACGGTCATAAATCAAATTGAGATTTAGGAATAAAGGGAGAAGATTCAGACAGCTAGAGAAAACGGTTTCGGTTCTATTCCATCGGGAAGGTTTCGGTGGAAATCAGTATGTCTTCCACACCTTCTTTTACCGGAGGAAACGGAATTGAAGATGAAGTGAGACAGATGGTTTTCGTCTCTTGTATGATACTTCTTCGTGTGATATCGGTTTAGGTTTCGGATACAATGAGAGATAGAAAGACGTTTATTAGGGTAGGTTTTACGATGTTACTGAAGGAACCTGGCGATAGACTAAAAATATCGGAGAAGTATATTTTCGAGAAGTATATTTTCGTCATGGTCTTGAATTAGAGAAGTATATTTTCGTCATGGTCTTGAATTCAGCATAACCTAGAAAATGCGTACACTTTGAGCTAAATTAAATTGTTTCCTGTAAAAGATGTATCAGGTAAAAATTCTACTAAAAATGTTCCTCAGAAGCTTCACAATATTTTTTCAAATCAATTTTATATCTTTAACAGAAATCTGAAATAATTGAGGTCAAAGCTTAAATATGGAGTGTTCGTAGAGGAAATAGGGTAGTTAATATCATTTCGTTTCAAATTTTGATTTACAACCTTAAATACTTATAAACAATTAACCTAAATAAATTTTGAAAAGTGAATAAAGTTCCGAAAAACATCACTTGAAATATTTTATGACACATCGGAATTAAAAATGATGCAGAAGTATTAAACTGTTCAAGAACATGTGTACTTTTTTCATACTTTCATACTATACAGTTTTTTTTCAAATATAGTCATCTATGCTCAGAAAATGAATCACAGTATTATTCTGGTACGAAAAAATCGGAGATGTGGGAGAGAAATGACTGTGGCCGTGGCCGCAGGCTCCACAACGACAACTACAGTAACCAAAAATTTTTTTTCTCGATTTCCGATGCTTTTGTTATTTTCTGACAAAAGAAGTCGAACAATTGAAAAATTGTGATAGTTGAAAACGTACGGAAATCGAGAAACATTTTAAAATATATTTTAGGTTACGGTAGTTGTCGTTGTGGTCAATTATCTCAATTTTTATAAGAGATATAAAAAATGTGCCAACTAATAAAATATTTCTGATATTATGCTAAACATTTCACCAGTTCAAAGAGTTTTGATATCTCTTTTAGAATTTGAGTTAATTGAGCTCAAAATAAAAGTATAGGGTGGTCTTCTATTAGAGTGTTTACGGTCTGATTTCCCAAATAATGTTCTTAACTTGATTCTTACAAAAACTTTGAATTTCCAAATGGACTTTCTTCAACCGAATTTTTTCAGCTAATCTTGCTACTCCTATCCCCCTTAAGTTTACGATTTACTATGTATTTTGCACAGTCACATGGAGATACATTGTACCCCGATCGCATTGATTCCGATATTCTTTGTTTTCCTGAACTCTGCTCATTCCTTTTCTCAACTATTATTTCACTCGTTCTCTGTCATCTATCTTTTTGTCTCTCTCACTCATCACCTGATAACCACGTTGTTTCTTGAACAAAATGATGATAGAAGAAAACGATTTCTGTTCATGGCAAGGTTCATTTATAGGATAAAGGGGGCATAGAGATTCTAGATTTAGACATGTAGACTTGTATTTAATCCAAAGTTTTGAAAACTTCCTTTCCGGTGCACCTGTAAATGTATTGTTGCTCAACGGAATGGGATCCATGGGTGTTCGTGGCTGTGACTTTGTATACTCCTTGATCTGCTTGAGTTGGGTTCTGGAAAATTCAAACTTGTTGAGAAAATAATTTCAAAATTTTCGGCGCCATGATTCTCAAAGCATTTCTTGGCATCTTTTTGTGAATTTTGCCACCTCTTTTAGTTGGAAAAATCAAATTGGCGCCATTTGGAGACTGTCAGAATAGCGCCTCCAGACATAAAAAAAAATCTCTCACTTTTTCTACAACTGGGAAAACGTAGTTTGGTCGAGAAGATGAGTTATGGTTTCATAGAAAAAAGAGGTCTTGATTTTGAAAATTTGGTTTCTTCATCAGTTTTTTAATTAAGGGAAAGAGGAAGTGGAGTAGAAGTCTTAGAATTTTTGAATCATTCACAAACTCAGGTTCCGTGAAACCTGTAATACAAGGGCCGCATTATTAAATTTTAAGCTAATTTATCTCGGTTCCTATCAAAGATATAAAAAAGTAGTCAACTAATTAATCGTTTATCATAAAATAAAAACATTTTATCATCAGATACATTTTTGAAATCTTGCATAGAAACCAAGAAACATTGGCTCAAAGTAAAGGGGGCCCTTCTATTACAGGTTCTACGGTATCTCAAAATATCAAAATATCCTTATTTTGGGTCTGGTTTTGCTGATAAGAAACTGTTGAGATGTTCTTTTTTGTTATTACAACTTTCCTAATTACTCAGGTTTTCTTTGTTATCACCTGAACTTCAAAGGACGGCTCTATTTTGTAATATTTTCTCGTCTATTTTACAACGTACACCAAGCAAACAAGATTACACTGAAATCGAGAATGTCCCAATTTTTTACCTTGATATGCAATGTGACTGTAAATTTTCCGACCATCTTCTTGATCTTTGAAACGTAGCGATCGCCAGTCAACTCTTTGTCTTTCAAGAACCTGAAATATTGATCAAACAGGTTTCAGATTTTCTGTTAGAGGGATTCCCTTAATTTTTTTGGCATATTGTAAATCGAGATACAAAATGGAAGCTCACCATTTGATAGTTGGCTGGGGATTGGCATTGCAGATACACTCAAAAAGAACAGATCCATCTGGGGAAATGATCAAGGATGGAGCCTTCTCAAAGAATGGAGCAAGAACCATTTTCCTGAAAAAATTAAAGAATTTTAACTAGATATCTCACAGTGGGAGCGTAATAAAAAGAACATATGTAAGAATGGATTGAGATACGCAAGAATCAATGAGCACTGAAAAACAGGTGACAGAAATCCAGAGAAAGAGAGAAAAAGAGGATTCGAGTAGGCGGAGGAAGATGAAAGAGCACTTTGGATGTGGGGGATATGTGGGAAGATGAAACATGTTTAATAATGGGAAGAGTCTGGGAAAATGAAGAACTATTGATCGAATGTTGAGGAATTCAATATTGGTACATTGTCTTCTGGATCGACGGCTTTTGGGAACAGCCAAAAGGAAGTTACCCTAAAAATTTTTTATACTAGATACATTTTTGGAAACTTTTATAACAAAAACTCTGTGAGGTCAACATCTGCCTTATTTTTTCGAGAAAAAGACTATCTAATTTTTTCCAGGTCATTATGTTCAGCACCTGAAACAAAGATGGCAAATCATCTTTCAACGTGTTCTTTTTCATTTTTCTTCTTCATTTTTTCGGCAGAATACTTTTTTTTTCTTCTCAACATCTCAAATTCATTGTAAAACATTTTTGAAGCCGGAATTAGTATCGAAATGGGAGACGCAAATACAGCGGATTTGAAGACACTCGAGAATGGATCCAACTCATCGTCGATTGATAATGTTGAGAGAAAAATGGTAGGATTCTATTAGATGAAAATCAATAATTTACTGGAAGAATTTCAGCTTCTGCTGAAAGTTGCGGAGAGCGAAAAGTCCCATTTTGATGACGTCATCACTGGAGCCGAATCAGACATGGGATGTGAAAATGCGTGGCAGGAAACTGAGAATAGTGTGACACAATCGTTGGATGATCTTCATACGAAGAGAAGTATTCCGGAGGAATGGGTTGATGAGCATCCAATGGTCCAAAATGCATCAGTTCTCCAGATGGAGCAACAAATGGCTCCATCAGCTCCACACAGCTACTATGAGTTGATGGATTTGAATCGGGAGCCAGTGGACAGTACTGTTCGTATGGCTCGTGTTCCTTCTCAGTATCAATTGGATGCTCTTTCCGAAATGTTCATATTCGATGTTCCACAACATTTTACGTTAGTTTAACATTTATGTCTTTTTTATCTTGAACACTTTTTAGAATGAAAAAGCCAAGCACAACACATTGTCAACCAAATCCAACGAACATCATCTCAGCTGACCAGGATGTTACTCCAGCCGACTGGTCAACTCCTTATTTTGTAAACTCTGAATATGTGTCCGAATTGCTCATGTAGAATAGAAGAATAGAAGATCGTAGATACTCAACCTTGCGTTTGTGCTCAATGAAAATTTTCATTACTCAGTTTTTGTTATTATGTTTTTTAGTAGGATATGCAATTAACAGACTTTGCATCGTTACGTTAATTCGAAGCTCTGAAAAAATACGGCTTCTATGTGCACATCGTCAGAACAGGGTCATAGAAAAACGCGTTTTCAGCCTCCCAAATATTTTTTCAACTTTTACAGTCGTTCTATTGTTTTTCTTTGTCGCTTCAATAGACTTTCAGGTGCTATGCTATCAACTAGAATGGATCACTTTTAGTATTTTTTACAGCTTCCAAATTTCGTACAAAGTTTCTCTTGATCCTTGTCTGGGCTTCATTTAATTATTAATTTTAATAGCTATTCACCACAAAGTATTCCCCATGTTTTAACTCATAGTTTACTCATCGCTGGACATATTCTAGCCAGATTTATAATGGTTTTCCAGACTTCCTAATGCTCACAATGTGTCAAACAATAAGACTTTTTCAAAACCGTTTACTACCAAAACCATTTTCAAAGAGAGTTCAATGATGTTTATGGGTTGTACTCAATTGGCAAGTTCTTACGGCGGACCATTCCGTCTCCTTGGAACCACTCACGACGGAATTGCTTGGCGGCACCGTCTGGGGTGTTGGTCCATTCAACGGTGATACGGTCATTGTTGGTGTCCTGAAATTAGAATTAAATTAAGATACAAATTAAATTAAGATATCATCTATCGAAGCAAGTATACCTCCTGTCCGAAGGCGAAAGCATCGCAAGAGACGGCGAGGAGAACAGCCTCCTTTGGGTCGAGAACTCCACATGGTGGATCGACTCCAAGACGTTTCATGTTGGTGGTCTTGATACCGTATCCAATGCGACGGGCGGACGAGTTGATCACCTTAATGTGGTAGGTGTGTTTGTCGTCGTACGGGGCATTGAAGACGATCTTGGCGTTGGGTTGGGTTTGGATATCTCCTGGTGGGACGGATTGGGCCATGGCGATTTGGATTGAGTTGAACTCGATGAGGATACTGTACAAAACGAGCTGATTATATACCCCCAAAGCTTATCAGTTTTCCCGATCTTTGTTCTAGATCTCTCAGCTGATAAGGGAAAAAAGTTGGAAGGCTCACGGAAAGAGTATAAATGAGGTTAAGAGCAAAATAATATAAAAATTGCTTTTTCATGGTGAAACATATTTTTTGATTAGCTGTATCTGATTTTAGAGGGGGATCTATAATGGTCCACTAACTCCTATGAATGATTAAAACTTTCGAAATTCTGAAACTCTAAATCTTTGAATACTGAACTTCTGGAAACTTCAGGGATTCCTCTGAACTTCTGAGCTACAAGGATTTCTCAAATTTCCAAAATTTGATTCTAATTATTTTCTGTGTTTCTGAAACTTCGAATGTGAAGGGA